TTTCTGGAGATAAGAGATAATTAGGATTAAGAGACAAAATTCAAATTGCACATCCAATGAAGCTGCTCCTAAAGCCACAAGACTAAAAGGGGAAGCTAAAAAAGGATGCTGCTTTATTGCCACAACCCACCCATTACCAACAACCTACACAAACATCCACCACTGAGAGTGTTTCCATGCATGACAATTTAAAACAAACAAAGAAAAAACCCAAACAGACAGACATTTACTGTGGTAAGAGCCACCTCAATAAAGCTCAGGATTTCAGCCCTCCTTATTCTCAGTGCACTGCAACAGACTGCAGCAATCCTACTTGCAATTTTTAAGCAGAGGAGTAGTATCATAGAGAATAAAGGAACAACTAAATGGCAATACGTCCTTATATACAGACAGGAAAACTAAAGCAGTGCAGATGATGTGAATTGTCCAGGACTCATAACACAGAAAGAACAGGACCTAGTTCTCACAATTCCAACACCTGTGTATCAGCCACAGTTTCAATGGCACAGAAAATATCTTCTGTTAACAGTGATGCCACACGTACACCATGAAGCCTGCACTAAAACTAACCTCTTATAAGACTGTGTACTTACAGAGGAAGAAAATCCTCTGGCTGACTAGCTACTTGTCCAGATAAGACTAAGTACCCTTGCCTTAAAACACAGCAGTGCAATTGCAGGTTCTGTTTCACACTCTCAAAAAAGCTAGCATAGCCTGATTTCTTTCACTCTTCCCCTTACCATCTGTTCTTACAGCGATATTTGAAAACCCTGTGCACTGGAATCATTGAAGCCTGGTTTTCTGCTTAATTCTAATTAGAAATACATTTTCACAGCTAACAAGCAGCACCCCTATTTTAAACACCATCCTTCCCCCAAAGCATTGCTCGGAGAACCAGACAAAGCTCTCGGATGTTTTGCCATCACCCTGGGCAAATTCCCATTTTACTGAAAAAACACCACTTTAGTAAAAAAAAAAAAAAAGAAAAAATACAGACACCTTGATAAAATCCTTGATTTCAAAAGGTAGCTTCTTGCAGGAGTTTAGGACCTCTGCAGTCTCTGCCTTCACTTCAATATCTCCTGTTGGCATTTTCTGGAGTAAAAAGGCAAGAAAAAAAAATTAGACTCAAAACTTAGGGAAAACAATTGGACAAAGGCATTTCACAGATGGACAGGGGAAAAAAAAGAAACCCATCCTCCCTGCCTTTTAACACAGTATAACTCGGAGAAGTTCTCTCAAGGACAGATTTCTCCTAGATTTCCCTTCTGTTCAGAAAAACACAAGTCACTTCAACAGTAGCATACTGATCTCTACAAGAAATATAATTACTTTGCCTTCGCCTTCTCCTTGAAGGATACGCTGAGCACAAAGGAACAGTCAGGCAGAGACCCTTCTAGGGCACATGCATTTAGACAAAATACTAGTTCCATTAGCTTCAATGACACCACACAGCATACATTTTAGCGTGCATTAGCAGCACCACCATCAGTTCTTAGTGCAAGTCAAAAAAGGCAACTTGTAAGGAACTTCTCAGAACCTCCAGTCCTGAACACCAGTTCTCAGAACTAGTCTTCTTTTTCTTAGATGTCAAGGGAGAACAGACAGCTTCCCCCACTTAGCACTGTGCCGCATCAAAGTTCATTTGATCCTACAGAACTCTTTGTGTTTACCAGGGGAAAGTATATACAACCTTCCCACAAAATCTTAAATGATTAAAAGAAATAAAAGCATTGCTTGAAGCCTGCATTCTTTATGGACACCTATAAGTGGTCAGAGCAAAAAAAGTTATGGTCATAAATTCAGGTTCTCTTTTTAAGCCTGCGAGTGATGGGGTATGTACGATCCTGACAGATTAATGTATAGCAGATTACAGCAAGAGCTGAGGAATGCATAGCATTAAAAAATTATTCAACCTCTCTTTTCTATACAATGAGAACAGCAAAATCAATTCTGAGTGAGAAATAGGTCATCACATGCTGTGGAACTTGTGATGACAATACTTATTTTCAAGAAAAAGCAATTCTCAACCACACTTTGAAAGCCTGAAAAAGCTAGCCATTATCCTTTCAAAGGACCGGAATACAATTTAATTCATGAGTGTTTGTAATGTGCTTTGAGGTTCTCATAAGTTACATGTCATAGCAGTTATTTCACCTCACATTATCATATCAAAGCTATGACACAAAACCCACCATAATCCTACTATCCAGTGCTCTTTTTCCCAAGGACTAAAACCCCTGAGAGACTCCAACATCCTCACCGGATTCTCCTGGCCTGGGGGCCGAGGGGACACAATTCCAGTCACTCGCACAACAGACTCCACTGGGGCATCAGACAAGAGCTTCTTCACATGGGAATGGGCCTGCAAGAAGATGACAATGTCTCACTGATGTTCAAAGAGCAGGACAAACGCACCATGCTTAAAGGCCTCATTTCTTAATGGCCCATTTGAATCTGGGATGACTTCTCATAAGCCAGAGGAAATAGCATTTATGTTTTTGTTGCAGTGTCAGATCAGGGCTCTCATAATGCTTAAATCTACTTGTGAGTCAGAGCACTCAGTCTGACAAAGTACTTCATTCTGCTCTGAATGTCTGCTGGACCCAAGCTACCAAAGCAAAAATAAAAGTAATAGAAACTCATATTTTGGTAGCACTTACCTCATCTTGTGGAATAATGATCTGGGTCAGTCCCTGGAAATCCCTCAAAACCAGAAACAGGCCTTGCCTGATCCATGAAAAAAACAAAAGAAAAACAGTTTTTTCAATAATTCAGTAGTCTTCTGCTTTTTAAGCCAAGGCACATGGCAACTAGCTACTTTCTGTACCTTGTGACTAATCTCAAAACACTTCCAAGTAACGTATGTACAGGTACTTTTTCCCACATCTGAATCTAACCTGAACCATTTGTTTCAGATTTTGCCCAGCCACAGACAAACAATGTGCAAATAACCAGGAGAGGCAGGATTTTAACTTGAACATTAATCCATGTAAGGCAGGGATTCTGAACATGTGCAATTTCCTGCTGGGAAACATCATTCAAATAAACACATTTAGATGAGCGATAAAACTAAAGTTCACATCGATAAAAAAAAAATACCCAACCACAAAACAAGAACACTGGTCCCATAAAAAGTTTCACATGAACAATCCACACTCCTAGACCCAGAATCATAAATCTCGATCTCTTCAGCTGCAGTACAGACAGCTACCATCATACTTATTCCATCAAGAAGCTGTCAAATTGAACACATTCTGGCTGTCTTTAAAAGCAAGAGCACAACAATCTCATTGCAATAATTCTAACTCTGTTTCCTGGAACTCCACCCATGACTGTTCAAAGATGAGATGCTTAGGACCTCCTAAAAAAACCCCCAAAACCATACAGATCATCACTGCAGAACAATGCTGGATAAAAAGCAGCCTCTCTGGACTGTAAAATGCAAAACACAACTTTTGATACAAAGCACTTTCATCAAAGCCACAGGACCTATCTCCATCTTACAAGCATATACCCAGGATGAGAATATTTTGGAGCATCATCCATGCTGTATGCAGACATGCTTTTCACCCTACATTTACAAAATGTACAACTCCATTAGGAGTGATTATATCACACCACATATAGCAAACTGTTGGAATTAACATTTCCTCCTTTGTTTACTCTCTCTTCTTAGTATTTCTTTTTTAAGCAAAGCTTGCATACTTTAAAATTGCATCATTAGATGCTGTAGTTGAAAAGACAAACAATACCATTTGCTTAAAATTTAAGGTCACTATATAAAAGAAATTATAGTAATTCTAACAGCTGTGAGCAAATAAATATGCTATTACTTGTTTCTTTTCTATGCAATGAGGGTAATAATATTTAACTGCTTTACAGTGTTGTCATGAAGATCAATTAACATTTGTATGAAGCTCTGAAATTTTAAATACTGATCTGGCATGGTTCTCAACTATTTTACTCATTTCAGAAGTGACTACTGCAGGCTATGAAAGGATAACCTGAAGCATTAAAAAGAGTTTGAATCCAGACCTAGAGCATACATTGGATCTGGCAAATAAGCATCTCCATTTTCACCTTGGCTTGCATTTACCTTTGATACTGAATCCATCCATACAGTGTGACCTCTTGTCCCACGTGAGCAGAACGCAGCTCTCCACAAGTATTGGTCCGACTGACAAAACTATTGAAGTCTTGAATAAAAATAACAAATTCTTTTGTGGCTTTTGCAGACAAGCAAGATAAAAGTTACGGTCCCCCCTTAACACCAACATAATTTGACACATACAAAGAAATTACTCCATGTATCCCCGATACAAATGCTGTAAGACATTATGACATAAATATGACGTGAAATTACGCTTAACAAGTTTTTAAGAGGAATTATTTCTATGTCTAAGTCAAACTTTCATACAGAAATATGAATGCAGTCTTGCTGCAAACTGTTGCCCTGCAAATTTCAGGGCCAAGGGAAGGGAAAGCTGCGGATCAGTCCTGAGGCACACTGACAATTCCACATTTGAATCTAGAAGACGCAGCAGAAAGGAGCTTTGACAAGCCAAGACTGAAACATACTGACACCCACCACGTGGGTGTAAATTGAACAGGTTCCTGCCTGTAACTACTGGCAAAAGACCTGAACCGTGACTACAGAAAATCTTCCACAAACCCCAGTGTGCCTGGCATCAGGACTTCATCATAAAACCAAACACAACACTTACAGAATATACTAGAGTTTCAGCTTGCAAGGAAAAATGTGAAGGATGCTATTATCTAGACATATATGATTATACAAACTAGTCTCCCTTGTTACCTTCATCATGGCCTAAAGGCTGTAAAGAAGTAGAGGGCAAGAAGGTTTATTTTAATGTTAGGCATTCTACCCCTATTGCTTATAGTGTGCTATAGAAGAGGGTGGAAAAAAACAACGTAAAAGCTCAAAGAAAAGTAGACAGATTGGGTTTGATATACTTTGAATCACAATTCACTGTGAGATGCCAAAAGTCAAATAAAAGCATGACTTAGAGAAGACATTTTAAAAAACGACGCGGGGAAAACAGTGCATCACGAGCGTGCCTTCAGTCTCCTCTGCAGACCACCCTGGCATAGGTCCCAGGGAGGAAAAAAAAAAAAAAAACAAAACCAAACCACAAAACCAACCAAAACCCAGGAGAGGAGGCGGCGGCAGGGATAAGACAAACGCTTCTTTCTCACCTGGAGC